AATGGTGAGGCAGAGATTCGGAGATTTGGGTGGGGCTGGTTCCTTTCCTTTTGGTTCCTTACCAAGCTTGCTAGGATCTCAATGCAGGTATCAGGGCTCTCATCCAACAAGACCCCAAACACTGGGCTGAGGAAGCCCTTGAAACACAACACTCTAAGATCATACAGAAAAATCACATAGAATTACCCACTTCTGCCTTAGAACCCCTACTCTGATGCCCATGCGAGCTCACACAACTGGGAGTGGAAGTTGAGTGCTTTTGTCTTGAGTTGCTCTTGGACCTGTTCTTTCTGACCAACTCTATGCAGAGTGGTGTCTTGTCCCCCCCAACCAGACAGCGGCGCTTCGAGGGCAGGGAACATACTTTCTTCTGGAGGAGGAGTGATGGGGACTCACTACTCTCCTGGGCAGACTTTGAGTGGTGCCGATGCAGGTGCTCCTCAAAGCTCCACTGAGCACCACCTCCCGAGGCCTTCTCGCCCCACGGGGTCTCCACAGGACAGCCCCCAGGGTGGCACCATGCTGGTGAGGATTGTCACTGAGCCTTCTCTTCTCCTTCTTCTCTTCATGCAGGACAGGCTCCAGGCTGCTGGGTGCCCTCTCTGACCACATGCCCATTACAGAAAGCCCCTTCCCATCCTCCTCTGAGCCTGACCAACAGTCTTTAATGACAGGGTGAGCCCATTCAGAGAGCTAAGTCCTACTCTTAGCACAGAGTTCTAAAAGTTCACTTACTCAACAAATATTCATTGACTTCCTACTATGTGCCAGGCCTCATGTTAGTGGTTGGAAATAAAATGATCCCCAGACAGACACGATCCTATCAGGGCCCCTGGTGAATTCCCCTTGAACCTTGCCGCTGCATTGCGTGCCAGATAACTGCCAGCTGCTAGGGATCCACCTAACTGCCAGGGACTGCTACATCTGCTGCAAGGCAGGGCAGAAGTAAGCGCCAGGGAAGCAGCATGCTCCAGGGGTATCCCTCAGCCAGTTGGACTTGTAGGAACTGGTGCATAGTCACCCAGCCCCCTCATCCCTGGGCCTGAGTTTGGCACCATTTCCCAGAGCTTCCCTGTGGGATTGAGCTCCAGCTGCCCACCAAGTAGCTGGCATAATAACACACCCTTTCTTGTGTGGCTTCTCTTCTTTGTCTAATTTTCTACCCCTTACCTGCATTTCCCAAACAAAAAACTTGTACTCAATCTTCAACTTGGAGTCTGCTTATGAGGAGCCTGAATGAAGACAGCACTGCCACTCACAGGACTTCCACCTAGTGGGAGGACAGATAATAAACAAATTATAACAAATCAGTAAAAAATTTAAAATTAGTAGCAACAGGTGTGAAGAGAAGAAGAGGGTACATAGAAGAGAGGCCAGGTAAAGAGGGATGTGATGGTATGGCCTGAATGTGTCAGAATGAAAGCTGAGAAAAGTCCTTTCAGAAGAAGTGACATTTGAACAGAGACCTGGAGGATGAAGTAAAGGAAACAACATTCTGGACAGAGGGAAGAGCATGTGCAGATCCTGGGGCACAAAGGAGCTTGGCATGTTCAAGTCATAGGAGAAAGCATGTCTGGCTACAAAGTGGTGAGCAAGGGACACAATGGTAGGACAGGGTGCTGGAGGGCTATGCAGTATCTAGATCATACATTGCCTGGTAGGTAGGACAGGAAGTTTTTACTTTCCTCTGAAGGTAATGGGAGAGCTTCCAGCAATGGTGGATCAGATTATTTCAGACCATTCCTCCTGCCAAGAGTGCTAAAAAATCTGGACAAAATTAAAAAGAGAAACATAATGTTTGATGGTAATAGATAACTATCAAGGCAGTGAGAAATTATGGGGCAGATCTGGGAGAAGAGAGATGCCCAGCGAGATGAGGCTGGTAGGGGCACCATCTTTCCCCTGAGGGGATGGCAACTCAGCAGAAAGTGACATCTGTGAGGCTGAGAAGCTGAGCAGGGCTTTCTTCTGAGTCATGGAGGCTGGGGCTTAGAGCCCGCCAAGGAGGAGGGCTTCATTAACCTCCAAGGCCTTGGGCTGGGATCACTAAGGGCTGCATGTTAGGAATAAAGGTGAGTAAGAATTGACCAGCCCTTACAGGGACTGACAACCACATTTAAGTCATCTCAGTTCCTCAGTCAATTAAGGTGATCTGGGACTACTACTGATCCCAGCCTAGCTTCTTGCCAAAAGCAAAAGTAAGGAGGAAGATGACATCAAATTATCTATATAATTTTTCATTCCAGGAGTTAGGGTGAAGGGAAGGATGAACAGGCAGAGCACAGAGGATTTTTAGGGCAGTGAAGGTATTCTGTTTGATATTGTCATGATGAGTACATGTCCTTACACATCTGTCAAATCCCATAGAGCACACAACACCAGTGTGGACCCTAATACAAACCATGGGCTCTGGTTAACAATGATGTGTCAGTGTAAGTTCATCAGTTATAACAAATGTACCACTTTGATGTGGGCTGTTGACAGTGAGGAGGCTATACATGTGTGGGATGGATGGGCAGGGGTCATATGAGGACTCTCTGCACTTTCTGCTCAATTCCATTGTGAACGTAAACCTCCGTTAGATATAAAATCTATTATTTAAAAAAAGTAATTGGAAGAAAACCAAGCAAAGAAAGAGAGAGAGAAAGAAGGAAAGAAAGGAAAGATGGAAGGAAGGAAGGGAGGGAGGGAGGGAGGGGGAGAAAAAGAATCAAATGGAAATTTGGACCTGAAAACTCAGTAACTGAATAACTCAAAAGATCATTTTAATGCTGATAAGATATAGCTGAAGAGAGATGTGAAGGACTGGAAGGTAGGTCAGAGGATCCAGACTGATAAAGCTGAAGAGACATTTGGGATGTGGTAAAAAAAAGATCTAACATATGTGTAATTGGAGTCCCAGAAGAAAAGAAAGTATTGGGCAGTGGTAATAGTTTGAGATAATGACTAAGAATAATTTTTAAGTGAATGAAAGACATCAAGTCACAGATTTGGGAAGGACTATGAACTCTTAGCAGGATAAATAAAAGAAAATCATACTGAGGCACAGCACAATAACATAATAGGAAATCATAATAATGACAGGAAAGAGAAAAATCTTAGAAGTAGGCAGAAAAAAATTAAGGGCAATGAGAAGACATTAGGGAGTTTTCAAAAAGCGATTGACCCTATATCTGATTTACATTTTGAAAAGCTCACCTGAAACTGCTGGAGGAGGACAGTCAGTGGCTCATCACAGAGATGACAGCATGCACAACAACAGTGATGGCAACAGGGATGGGAGAGAAATAGCTGTGTTGAGGATGTTCTGTTCTTGGGGATAGAATGGACAAATTGTGATGGATAAGATGAGGGAGTGAGGAAAGGAAAGAATCAAGGGCTGTCCTCAGATTTCAGGTTTGAGTAATTCAGTAAATGCTGATGTCATTCCTGATATTTCAGGAAAGCCTGGGAAAAGGATGTGGTTTTTATGTTTAGTAGGTGATTTACTCTCTCTAAATTTCATTTTCCTTATCTCTAAAGTGGGGTCATACTTGCACCCACCTCATAGCTTTGTCAGCTATTATTATAGAGTCCCAGGTTGAAGTGTGGGTCAACAGAGTAGAGCAGGCAGCTGGAAGCAGAATCTCCCCATCGCTACCCTCGGGGGCCCCAGGTTCTTTGCCACTTCAGATCCAGAGCTGAAACAGGCAGGCCAGCCCAGCTACATGGTGTCGGGACCCAGCGCTGGTTTAGCCTCTCTTGCCAGAGCCAGCTTCCCACTTATCAAGAAAAAGGGGGGAAACAGATTAACCTCCAGTAGTGGGAGATTAAACTCAAGTCCTGCAAGAAAAAAGCTCTCAAGAATTTTTTTCTCCTTTACCCAAAACTTGTAAGTTATGCTGCTGCAGTCTGAGATTTGCTAATCGGCCTTATTCTATCTGGGTATGTCATTCTGGTTCACTGACCCCCAGGAGGTTGACATCCAGTCACATTTCCTCCTGGAGGGAATTTCCCATGAGGTAGGCTGCACCAGACACTTGTTTCTGTTTTTCCACGCAGAGCACTGACTTGATTCCGTTCAATTTGATTCAATTCAGGTGTTTCTGAGGGACTTCTCTGGGCCAGGCACTGAGGAACCCAGTGTGTTGTTTTAGACATTCATTTGTTCAGTAAACATTCCCTTCCCTCTTGCTCCCCACTCCCACCCAACAGGCCTTTTTCTCAGCCCCACCGATAGGCCAGGTTCACTCATTCCTAACGGTACCAACTGCCTGAACTGCCCTGTGCCTAAGTTGCTCTGCCCCATCTCCCCCTGGGCACCCCTGAGCCTGCCACCCCACTTCACGCCACAGCAGACCACTGTCTGACATTCTGCCGTCTACCTCTGTCAGTGTTCACACCGTCCTCCACCCCCTGGACTGAGCTCCACGAGTGTAGGAACTTTGAAGCACACTGCTGCTTACCCAGCACCGCTGCACACAGTACGTGTGCACTGAGTGAGTGAGTGTCTCTGCTTCTGGGCCAACGTGTCCTTTCTGAGAGGGTCAGAGGTCCCTGGGCGGAAGAGCACCAGGGTCAGGCAGGAGGTGAGGCCCCTGTGTGGGGCCTGATGGAGATCTGCCAGGGAAAGCACAGGCTCCGGGAGGACCTCAGCACCATCATGTCCCCAGCCAGGGACCAAACACCATCTCTCTAAGCCTCAGCTCCCTTATCTGTAAAACGGTCGTGATGACATTCCCCTTATTTGAGGATGAAGTGATTTAAAATAAAATATTTGAGGATGAAGTGAAAACCTAGCACATGGCAGGTGCTCAGCTAACTGTGATCTCTCATTATTTGTTCAATGCCCCCCTGACACACATACAGGCACACACACACCTTCACCCTCACAGTGCGGCCCAAGCCCCTTCCCCAGCTGTGAAGGCCACTGACTGTGACAGGAGCTGCCTGAGGCCTCGGCGTGGAAATCAGCCCCTCACCGCCTTCCCTCTCTCATTCGTCTGCTTGGTGCCCTTCAGGTGCAGAGCATGGATCCAGGGACCAAGGACACCGTGATGTCAAGACCAAGCCGCTGGCCTGCAGGAGCTTACATTCAAGGGGGAAGCAGATGGTCTTCCTGTAAGCACACCCATTCTAAAGAGATCGGAGGGAAATAAGCCAAATCAGAGTGGTTGGGGTGGAGACTTGGGCTGGGGGGGCCGGGAAGGCCTCTCCAAGGAGGTGCCCTTGGAGCTGAGACTCAGTCGCGCAGAGAGCCTGCAGCTGGACTCCCTGAGGAGGGGGTGTCCCGCCTGACTCCAGGAGGGGGCAGGGGACAGGCGGGAAAGGAGAGCAGGGAGGCAGCAGGGCTGCCTGCAGAGGCTGCATATGGGCTCTGTCTCTGGCTTCCACTCTGCCCCGCCAGGGCGTCGGTGAGTCAGTGGACTGTGAGTGCTCCTGAGTCACCGACCACCTTGGGAGGGGGCTGGCCCCATCTTCTCACGAAGGACCCCGTTCATTGATTCTTCTTCCTCGAATTGGTCGCCTCCACCCAGCAGAACCCAAAGGAATCCAAATCTTATTATTTATTTATTTATTTATTTATATTTTGGTATCATTAATCTACAGTTACATGGAAGACATTATGTTTACTAGGCTCCCTCTTTCACCAGGTCCCCCATCACACCCCTTCACATCACTGTCCATCTGCATAGTAAGATGCTGTAGAATCACTACTTGTCTTCTCTGTGTCACACAACCCTCCCCGTGCCCCCCCCCACACTATACATGCTAATCATAATGCCCCCTTTCTTTTTCCCCGCCCTATCCTTCCCTTCCCACCCATCCTCCCCAGTCCCAAAGGAACCCAAATCTTGAAGGTTTTCTTCATTTGTTTTTAATTTCCAAACTTCTCCTCCATTCATTAATTCATTCAACAAATACTTGTGAAATGTATCTTGCATACTGAACACTTTGCTGGGCCCTAGGGACAAGTCACACAGTTTGGGCCCTTAAACAACCCAGAGGCTAGAGATTTCAATGTCCCAGGTTCCCCATGTACACCTGGGCAGGCTGGACCTGAAGTCTGAAAGACACTTCTCTTCTAGCATCTGAATAACGATGAAGAAGTATGTAGATATCTCTGCCCAATGTCACACACACAACAGAGAGGCTGGAGACAGACTGAGAGAGAGGCAGAGAAAAAGAGAGATTCTTTTTGCTCTCAAACTTAAGATATAAAAGCTCCCTAGTTGTCGAGTCTCATTACTCCATTCCCTATGCACCCTGGCTACTACCAATCCCAAACCATAGAGATCAAGAGATCCCTGACCTGCCTCTCCTTGAGGGGCAGTGAGAGGGAAGCACTTTGAACTGCCGTCTCTGTTTGTCTCTTCATCCAGGAACCCAGTGGCCTGGGAGCTTTTTGCAAGGCTGCACTTTTTGGTTAACAAACAATTTCTCTTCATTGCCAAGGGGAGGGGCAAGACCACTAAAGACTGACTTTTCAGAGAGAAGCCACCTTTCCTTCTCCCAGGGAACTAACTGGGCATGTGGGAGGAGTATGGAGAGGCAATGTCGTACAGAGGGAAGGGTTTGGACACTACAGGCAGATGGCGTACCAGCTCAATGACCTGAGGCAAGTCACTGTACCTCTCTGATCCTCAGTCTCCTCCTCAGTAAAATAGGAATAATAATAAATGAACTCCTGAAAGGATTAACTAAAGTGCCTCGAATATGATCAGCCAGTAATAGGTGACAAGTATTATTATTAATACAAATACAGGGATATTATGAATTGAGCATAGTTCCATCCCTCCATGATATTCACCTGATTGCTAGCTAATGTATCACCTCTACTGGCTTCGTGTGGGCTCCAGAGGCTTCAGACATCCCTAGAGGAGAGTGTTATTATTTGCCAGCAGCTCAGATGCTCCAAGTAGTGTGTGCATCTCCCGAATTCACACCCCCTTTCCTTCCGGGGAGTTACTGCACCTTTGAGTGGCAGCTCCTTCTCCCAGAGGCCAGTAGACATCTGTGCACAACCCAGCTAGTAATCGGCAAATGCAAATTAAGCAACAGACTACCAGCTCTCACCTATTAGATTGCCACAAAATCTGATACTAAATGAAACAGTCTGATCCCATCCTATGTAGTTAAAGACACGGGGAATGGAGACAGTAGCAGCGCTAGCAGGAATGAAGATCAGTGTGGCCAGTTTGCAGTTATCTGCTGAAATGGGGAAGTGCAGACCCCACGGTTCAGAGATCCTGTTTGTGAATGTCTCCATGAGAGACTTTCCCAGGTTTGAGCAGAGGCATGTGTGGGGCTGCCCAGGACAACCCTGGTCAGAGCAGCAAGGCATGGGAACCAACCCAAGTGTTCCTTCATGGAGGAGGGATGGAGGAGAACATGTGGACAGCCATACAGTTAGAGGGAGCAAACCAGCTAGACAGGAATTAGCATGAGTTGATCTCAACAATGTCGGATAAGAGAAGGAAAATACATCATATATACAGAATACTATTTATATAAACATTTAAAAAATAGCTCATGCCCAATAGTGCTCTATGCTGTCTTGTGCATAAACACATACTTGTAAAGGTACACAGGTAAGCCTGGAAGATAGAGCCACATTTATGGTGGTGTTTCCTCTTGGTGAGGTGAGGACATGGGGCCTGGGCAGGGGATTTCAGAGCTTTCACTGCTGTGTTTTCTTTCTTAAAAGAGCAATTTGGAGGGATCTATGCCAACCTTTTAACATGTAATTCTGGGTGGTGAAAATAGGGGTCTGTTATATTATTCATAGTTCTTTTCTGTACATTTATTTTTCCAAAAAGGGACATAAAAAGAAAGCTCTCCACAGAAAACATGGGCTGAGAAGTGTAGAAGGACTGATAGGTTTAGAAAGTCACCACCTTGCAAGCCAAGGGCCATCAATGAAAGGCGGCTGGGAACTAGGGCGTGCGAGGCGCCAAATATCACCAGAGGAGACAGTCTGGAGGGGTGGGGGGCCTGTGCATGCATGAGCTCTGTCACCACCTTCCAGGTGGCCCAATAGGGCATGTCTACACAGGGGACAGTCTGCCACTTGGTGGTGTTCAATCGAAAGTATACCCATCACCCGGAGGGCGTCCTCCCCTTTGGAGTGTGTAACCAGAATTCACATGGATTTGTGAACCTGACGGTCAGCTTCAAAAGAAAGAAACAAAAGAAGAAAACAAAATAAAGGAAAAGGGTGCAAGGGAGTGTGGATGACAAATGACTAAGAGACATAACAACCCAATGCATGTGTGACCTGTGGCTGGATTCTGGTTCAAAAGAAGCAGTGTGAAAAGCTTCTTAGGACAGCTGAAAAAGTTTAAATATGGATGAGATACCAGACAATGTTTCTGAATTACTTCTGCTTTTCTTAGGTATGAAAATGATAGTCCATGTAAGGGGGCGCCCATGTTCTGAGGCAATGGCTGCAGAAGCACCCAGGAGGGAAGTGCCACCCGTCTCCAGCCGCTCTCAGGTGTCTGCAGAATGCGGTAGGGCAGTAGCGGGATGGATATAGATACACAGACACCGATGTGAACAGTTAAACCTTGCTGGAGGGTCTATGGGTGTTCCTTTTACTTTACTTTTAACCTTTCTCTGAGGTTTGAATTTTCATAATGGAAAGTTTTGAGGGAAAACGTTTTTAAATGGAAAAAGAAAGCAGGTGTTCCCACTAAAGGCTGGGAGTTCTTACAGTAAAGAAACTACTGTTTCTTCCTCAAAGTAGGTTTTGCTAGAGTAATGGAATTGAGCATTTCTGAGAAATTCGTACAAATCAAGGGGACACTTACATTAGCAACGTAGGAAATTCAGCACATCTGAGTTATGTATGTAAATTGCAATCATGAAAATAAGGGCTTTCGCTGCCTTTCTAAGAAATGTCCCTTTTGGATACTCTTGCTTTTGTCTCACCTTGAGGACAGAAGTTCCAGCAGCCCGGCCTCAGAGGAGCCAGCGGGGGTGGCAGACCAGAGGGCTCGAGAAGGAGACAAGCCCGTGGCCTCACGGGACCACAGCCCTGGAGTGGCAGTGGTCCCTCGGGCCCAACGGAGCAGACACAGCTGTGCAGAGTGGATCAGTCTCATTGGAATTCCAGCCATTTGATGATGAGGCACTCAAAAGATAAAATGTGTATTAAATGAATGCATGTAAAGTGTTTATAATAGTGCCTGGAACAGGTTAAGTGCCATATACTTGCTTACTGTTGTTATTCCTGAGGAGCGTTTTACGAGCTCACTTAAAGAATAAGGACTGACTGGTAGGATACACCAAGTGGAAAGTACCATGTCAACAGTGTGTTCAATCTGTATAAGCCAGCAATTGCGTTAAAAAAAAATGTACGTGAGGCGAATGCGGCAAAATCTCTCAACTAATGATGCATATGTGCTTGTAAATGCCTGGGCTTTGCCGGAAGGATCTGTGGCCAAGATCTACTCACAGCTGCTGCCTCTGAGTAGGGAAACGACAATCTAGAAGTGCTAGATGGAACAGAATTTCCCTTTGTGGAACAGAAATTTCCTGTGTGCTGTACTCCCCTTTATGCTGCTTGAATGTTGCTTTACCATGCACTCATCTTAACTGTTTAAGTACACATTGTGGAAATGAACCAGCTCCAAAATCTTTCGGTGTACAAGGTATCTTTACTTTGGGTTCCAAAACTCTTCAGTCACCTTGCCCAGTGGAGTTTAAAATTAGAATCCTGTATCCCCAGGGGAGACAGCTCAGAAAGGGCTGCTTTCAAAATGAGGTTTAGAAGGTCCGGAATGAGGTTCAGAAACCTTCAGCACCTGCTCGGAGGGAGCCCAGCATCTATTTTCATAGGTCATGAAATCTGAGTGTGCCCAGCAATAATAGTAATTCCTTGCACTTTTGTGGTGCGGGGTGGGGAGGTCACCCAGACTTTTGTCTGTGCTGTCCTGATTGAGCTCTGTGCTCAACCATTTGATCAGGAGGAAATGGAGCCCACAGAAAAACGCTCCCCGGCAAACTGTCCTAGGCAGCTTTGTTCTGTCTGGTTTAATAATTATGAGATAGAAGTCAGAAGAAAGAAGTGGATGACCCTTTCGTAGGTGCTCATTTATATAAAGTCCAGGAACAGGCAAAACAAATCTCAGGTGATAGAAGTCAGATAGTCATTATTCTGGGTTGGGTGTGCTGCCTGGTGGGGCAGAGAGGGAGCCTTATGGGGCTGCTAATGTTCTAAATCTTGAGCTGGGTAGTGTTGCCTAGGAAAGCATATATGTAAACATTCGTTGACCTGCCCATTTGAAATGCATGCATTCACTGCATATAAATTACACTTCCAGTTAAAGAAAATAGAAAGTAAATAAAATCTATTATCTGAAAACAGTGTTTGAGCAAAAGCATTAACAAGCTATAATCAACAGTGGTACATTAGGGAGCCCTACCACTTAATCCTCGGCCACTGCAAAAGTCAAGCTGGACTTTGTGTTTCATTTCTTGCTTGCTTTTAAAATTCCCAAGTGCTTCTTTTTACAATAGCCAAGATATGGAAGCAACCTAAGTGTGCATCAATAGATGAATGGATAAAGAAGATGTGGTACAGATACACAATGGAATACTATTCAGCCATAAGAAAGAAACAAATCCTACCATTTGCAATAACATGGATGGAGCTGGAGGACATTATGCTCAGTGAAATAAGCCAGGCGGAGAAAGACAAATGCCAAATAATTTCCCTCATTTGTAGAGTATAACAACGAAGCAAAACTGAAGGAACAAAATGGCAGCAGACTCAGACTCCAAGAAGGAACTAGTGGTTACCAAAGGGGAGGGGTGTTGGAGGGAGGGTGGGGAGGGAGGGAGAAGGGGACTGAGGGGTATTATGTTTAGTACACATGGTGTGGGGGATCATGGGGAGAACAGTGTAGCAAAGAGAAGGGACATAGTGGATCTCTGGCAACTTGCTGCACTGATGGACAGTGACTGCAATGGGGTATGGGTGGGGACTTTGATAATATGGGTAAATGTAGTAACCACATTGTTTTTTCATGTGAAACCTTCGTAAGAGTATATATCAATCGTACCTTAATAATAAAGAAATTTAAAAAAAAAGAAAGGAAAGAAAAAAAAATTCCCAAGTGCTTGCTCATAGGGCATGACAATGCATGTGGCTTCTGGGAGCAGCAATCAGTCCAGTGGGTCCATTTCTGGAAGGCACAGTCTGCTGAATAGACAGACGAGCTTTCTAACGGTCAGAGCTAACCCCTTGGGAGCCAGCTGCTTTGTGAGGTGGATTGAGGCCCGGCCCTGGGGAAGTGCAAACTGAAGGAAAGGAAGGGATATACCGAGGGCGCCCAGCAGTGACTCTGGGCTTGCCCTGTTTCAACAGGCAGAAAGTTCCTGGCAGCAGCACCTATGAATGCCTCTGGCTCACAACTCCACCCCACCAGCCCAGCTCTGGTTTTGTTACTTTTCATTGACAAGAGTAATACGTGAGCAACAATTAAAACATGACAAATAGGGCTAAGGCCCCCGATCATCACCCCCATTCCTGGTCCCCTCTTGCTCTACCCAGAGACAACCATTATCATCAGGCATGTTCTTCTGCATCCCATTCATGAGTATGCCATCGAGGACAGTGCAATTTGTGTTTTTTACCTCACTGGAAGGCATCTGGATTATGCTACAAATTACATTTTCTTTCACTCGGTGATCTGTCTTAGCAATCATTCTATGTCCCTGCTTACAGATCTATCTCGTTCTTTTTAACCACTGCATAGTATTCCTGATTATGACCTATGGACTTACTTATTAAGCCATTGTCTGCTGGGTGGGCACTGTTCCCAGTGGCTTGATATTAATCATGCTTTGGTGAACATCCTAGTGCACCTGTGGTGTATGGAGAAGAATTTGGGTCTTGGGTTAGGTATATGTTCTACATTTTAACTGACCTTGGCAGACTGCCCTCTAAAATGGTGCCATCAACTCCCTCCCTCCAGCATGGCATGAGTTCACATTCCCAGCACACAGTATCAAACTTAAAGACTTTGCCAATCTGATGGGTGATAATTAGTGTAAGTTGTATTTTTTTCTGATTGGTGATAAGATTAAGCATTTTTAAAGCTCCCCAACAGTTTTATTTCCTTTCCTGTTCTCTTCACTTTCACCCAAATCAGCCTCTTCTTTCCTCCTCCCACCTCACTCTGTCCTACTTGCTTCCTAGAAGGCCTGTCCTCCTCCTCCACCTCCCTGATTCCTTTTCAACCCTCTAGGCTTCTTCCTAAAAGCCATGGGCTTTCTGTGACTTCTGGATTCATCTCACTCCAGCCTTAAGCTGCTGGGCTTGCTGTCCCCACGGGTTTCAGGGGAGCTGGGAAGACATAGAAGTTGCAATAGTGTAATAAAGGCTACAGTGCTAACCCTTGATATCGTTTATTAAAACTGCTTTGTGACAAGAACTTGCTCTGAGATTGTGTGAACTAATTTCATTCCCATAATAGCCTGTGAGACAGGAACTGCTCTTCTACCAACTTACAGGAGAGAAAATGGAGGTGTAGAGAATTGAAGTAATTCACCACCAAGGCTTCCTGCTGGTAAATGGCTGAGCCGAGATTAAAACCCAGGCTGTCCGGCTCTAGTGTCAGCCTCTCAGGTACTTTGACAGGGGCCAGAATATGGCTCAGGAAGCACACAGAGTGGGCACCTAACTGTGCCTAAGGCAGTCAGGGATGGCCTCCTGGGGGAGGTGATGCCCCAGCTGAGCTGGGAGATGGCACAAGAGGAGATGACTGAGCAATGACATGGGAAATGGTTGTCAAAGAAGTGGGAAAGGCCCAAGCTGTGCTGGCAGCCTGCAGAACTGTTCATCTTGACCACAGCCTGTGGGGTGTGTGGTGGGGCAGGAGACCAGGGCCAAGCCCAATGTTGGGTTGGGGGTGAGGGGGCAGGCCTGCCTCTGTGCCCCAGCGGGCGGCCTGCAGCGGGGACAGGCAGCGCCAGTGGGGACTCCTGGAGATCCAGCAGGTCCACCCACCTCAGCCCCAAGGCAGCACGCAGGCGTGGGGTGGGAGGCCTGTGCTGATTTACATCCTCCAGGTTGGGGAGAAAACACAGGAAGTGCAGCTCAGGCACTAATCAAATCTAAGGCTAATAATAAACGTCCTGAGTAATGAGTGGCCTGGGTCAGAGCAGGCGAGGTGGCTGGAGCCGGGCCGACCAGGAGGAGCGGTGTGAGTAGCTGGGAGGCAGGTGAGGGGGTGAGTGGGGTGGCAAGGGCTGGGCCTGGGGCTCCCATATGGGTTGGGGGTGTGTGTGTGGGCTTGGCAGCCACAGGAGATGGGCAAGAGCAGACAGTCCAGGGGCCTCCCCAAGCCCTGCATGTGGAAAGCCCCAAGCCTGAGACATTTGGGAGTCTGCACCTTGCTTTCCACAGAAGAGAAGGTCAGCCTCACAGGCAGGAATTCCCTCTGAGGTCCCCCCACCCAAGCTGGCCAGAGGACCCAGAGCCAGTTGGCCAGGACATTTCAAAAATATCTTATTTTGAAGCTGACACACAAAAATACAGGAGAGTTTAAGGACCTCTCTAAACCTCTGGCAGATTGCCCTCTAAAATGGTGGCAATGACTCCCTCCTGGCTCAGCAATTACTGCTACCTTACACGATCCGATCCATGCTCTCGATGTCCCCCCTTCCAGCCTCACGGGATCATTTAAAAGCCAATTCCAAACATCGTATTGTTTGATTTGTAGATACCTCAGGATTTATCTCTTAAAAGCAAACTTTTTAAAAAAACAAAACCCAAAAAAACTAACCACCATACCATGTCCACCTTTGAAAAGAATGACTCCTTAGTATCACCAAAGAGCCAGCCAGTATTCAGACATCCCCGAATGTCTGATCGACATCTTTTCTGGCTGATTTGTTCAAATCAGGATCACAACACAGTCCACATTATACTTTTGGTTATGTTTTAATCTAGAATGGTTTTCATCATCTCATTTTTCTCTTGCTGTTTATTTGTTGAAGAAACCCAGTCATTGCTCCTGTGGAATTTTTATCAGGGCAGTTTTTAAAGGTTTGTTCAAAGGCAAAATCCTGGAAGTAGAGGTTGTTACAGCAGACAGAACAATCCAAATCCATCAGGCCCTCCGCTGCTCTGTACCCTTCCCAACAGGTCAGGTAGGGAGCATATCTCTTCTGCGACTCCCTTTTGTGTCCAGTGACCATGTCTCCAGAGCTAAGGACTCAAATGTACAGAATTCCTGAGAGAGCCGGGTCAGGTTGGGACCAGAGGTTGCCTTGACACCAGGTGAACCTGCCTCGGCCCCAGGACTATAAGTCAGGAATCGGTCAGAAGTTTCTGGGGCTGGTGGAGGCTCCTGTTGTTAACAGAATCAGCCGCGGCCTGGAGTTAGGAGTTGTAGTGCCCATTATCACAGAATTGCTGTGTGACCTTGGATGAGCCCCTTCACCTCTCTGGGCTCTGTTTCCTTGGCTGTAAAATAAAGAAGAGCCTCTGTCTCACCAGATGTCCTTCAAACACACAAAAAGGCTTGGAACCTGCCAGTGCCCCTCTTGAAGAGTCATAAACAAAGGCTCTGGGAAGGGCTGCAGTTAATAAAAAGACTGACTTTCTTTAACCCAGTATTTTCAAACTAATTTGACTAGAGAGGTCTTTCTTGGTGCAGCACCTATTAAGACAAGCACATGAGTAGCCACAAGTAGAGGGCTCCAAGAATTGTCCTTCCTGGCTGCTTCCGGTCTCAGGGCACAGGAGAGCCTGGGGTGTGAGCCCAGTCCTCACACTCAGGCATGCAATTTGTGTTCTTCCCTCAGTCAATAGAGCTTTTTTCTCAAGCTTCTCTTCTGCCTAGCGGTTCCTGCCCCTCCTTGGGACTGGATGATGGCTCTGGGATTCCACATAGATCCCGGTGGTGGTGGAGGAGCAGGAACAGGGATGGCGGCTCCTGGACCATCAGGCCCCATGTTCCCTTCAGGTCCAGCGTTTCAGTGGCTCCCAGACCACGAGTGGGTCTTGGAAGCTCTCTAAGGCTGCCCTGTATGATCTGACCCACTGCCCACTCAGCCTTAGCTTCTCAGTGGGTTGAGGGGTGGCAGTTCTGTTATTTTCCTCTCTGCAAATGTGGGAAGGGTCAGGGGCCTCTTTTTAATTTTTTTTCATCCTCTCATTTTTAAAATTTGCCTTTTGAATGGATGGTAGTCACATGTTGGAAGCTCAGAAAGTATAAAGAGGAATTTAAGTCTTCCTTCCCTCCTTGTCCTGCATTTGCCCTGTTCTTGCCTCCCCTGGAAGACACAGCTTTATTGAGATAGAATTTACATGCCATAAAGTTCACCCATTTGAAGTGTACAATTCAGTGTTTTTTAGTGTATTTACAGACTTATGCAACCATCACTACAATCTAATTTTAGGATATTTTCACCACCCCAAAAAGAAACCTTCCCACCCATAGCCCTGGGCTGCCACTAATCTACTTTCTGTCTCTATAGATTTGCCTGTGTTGGACATTTTATAAAAATAGAATGTGGCGTTTTGTGACTGCTTCCTCCACTTAATATGTTTTTGAGGTTCGTTCATGTTGTAGTGTGTATATAAGTAGTTCATTCCTTTTTATAGCCAAATAATATTCCATTTTATGGATATAGCACATTTTATTTATCCATTCATCAGTTCATGGACGTTTGGGTTGTTTCTACCTTTTAGAAATGGAAAAAGTATGGATATGCTATTATGAACATTCATGTACAGGTATTTGGGTGGACATGTTTTCATTTCTCTGGGGAGTGGAATTGCTGGGTCATATGGTAATTCTGTACTTAAATGTTTTAAGGAACTGCTAAACTGTTTTCCGAAGTGGCTGCACCATTTTATAATCCTGCTTAACAAACATGAGGGTTCCAGTTTCTCTGCAGTCTCACCAACACTTGTCATTGCCCATGCTTTTCATGATAGCCATGCTGGTAGGGGTCTCAGTGGGGTTCTGGTTTGCATGTCCCTGATGCCAAATGATGCTGAGTATTGTTTCATGTGCTTATTAGCCATTCATATATCTTCTGGGGATGTCTATCTCACTCTTTAACCCATTTTTAAGTCTTTTCATTATTCAGTTATAAGAGTTCTTTATATATTCTAGATACAAATCCTCTCAGATATATGACTGGCAAATATTTCCTCCAAGTCTGTGGACTGCTTTCTATTTTCTTGATGGTGTTCTGTGAAACACAAAAGTCCTTAATTTTGAAAAAGTCCAACCTCTCAACCTTTTCTTTAATAATTTATGCATTTGGTGTCATAGGCTAACCCCAAATCATGAAGATTTACTTCTGTTTACCTCTAAAAGTCACCTAGTTTTAGCTCTTACATTTAGGCCTATTATCCACTGTAAGTTAATTCTTGTGTGTGATGTGAGGTAGGGGTCCAAATGCATTCCTCTGCATGTGGCCGGCCAGTTTTCAGAGCACTGTTTTGCTGAGAAGACCATCTTTCTCCCTTTGAATGGTCTTAATACTATTGTTGAAAATCAACTGACTGTGAATGTCAGGCTTTATTTTTGGACTCTCAGTTCTATCTACTGATCTGTGCCTATCTTTATGCTAGTACTGTACTGTCTTATTTACTGTTGCTTTGTAGGAAGTCTCGAAATTGAGAAGTTTCAGTCCTTCAACTTTGTTCTTTGTCAAGATTGTTTTGGCTCTTTTCTTGCATCTCCATACGATTTTAGGATCAGCTTGTCAAATTCTGCAGAAAAGCCAGCTGGGATTTGACTGGGATTGCGCTGAATCTGTAGAATAATTTTGAGGAGTATGCCCACCTTAATAATATTGTCTTTCAATCTGTAAACATGGATGTCTCTCCATTTATTTAGATTTTTTAAAAACAATGTTTTATAGTTTTCAATGTACAAGTTTTACACTTTTGTTAAATTTATTCCTAAATACTTTATTTAAAATATTGTTTTTTATTTATGTTTCCTTACAATGTAGATTAGAACTTCCCTCTTTTTGCAAAAAGAAAGGAAGGAAAGAAGGAAGGAGGGAAGGAAGGAAGAAAGGAAGGAAGGAAGGAAGGAAGGAGGGAGGGAGGTAAGACCTGAGTCCTGTTGTTACGTATCTTGTTTTGATTCTATTTTTTTCACTTAATATATCTTTGAATTCCTTTGATAGCACTGTATAAAGAGCTTTCTAATTGCTTTTTTTTTTATAGCAGAGGAATAGTCCCATGTACAAGTGTCCTATAACCTACTCAGTTAACCCTGATTGATGGGCAATTGGGGTATTTCCAATATTCTGCTATTACAAACACTGCTGCAATGAATTTATCCTTTCACACTCTTGGCATAAATCTGAGTTTAATCACTGCATCAATGGGTAAATACATCAGTAATTTTGACAAATGTGGCCAAATTGCCCTCCCTGAGGGCCATCCCTGCTTCCTCTCCCCCATAACGAGTGAGGGTGTAACTCCCCTCATGGCCTTGACGATAGACTGTATCACTAAGCGTCTGGATTTTTAAGAACCTACTGGGGGTAGATGGTATCAGCATGGTTTGAATTTGCTTATTGCTCAGGATGAGGCCAGGCTTGGGGATGCTGCTGTTCCGTCAGTGAATTTCTGCTCATTGCCTTTCCCCAGTTTTCTTTCAGGTCGCTGGTCCTTTCTATTTACTGTTTAGACATGAGTTACAAATGTTTTGTTCCCATTTTTCAGCTGCCTCTGGACCCTCCTAAAGGCGGGCTATCGCCATCCAGAAGCTGTTTTGTGTAATCTGTTTTACCAATCTTTCCTTTTATAGATTTTGGATCTGGGCTTATAGTTAGAAAGGCCTTTCATACTCCAAGGTTGTAAATAGATTAGATTTCTTCTCTAGAACTTTTTGTAATCTTATTCTCTTTCACATGTAAATCTTTGGTTGGGCTTTTTTAATCTGGGGGAATTTATTCTCCATGCAGGTTTCTGGCCTAGTTACTTTGTTGGTGTCTAGAATCGACAAAGTAACTAGGCCAGAAACCTGCAGGATTTCTGCTTTCCCCTCTGCCAGCCCAGGACACCTCTGCCCTGAGTCCTGCTTGAATGGAGCAAGTACCTGGGGAGGGGCAGAAGAAAGCCCAGATACGGTCCCAATCCTACCGTCCGTAACAGGGCAAAATGCAATTGCTTTTCATGCTGCAAGTCTTTACTGAGGACAGCTGTGTATAACGCATCTGCTCATTTCCAAGCATTGATCCAGGACCTACTGTGTGCTTGGTATTGTGGAAGGCGCTGGATTTAGAGAAGAATGAAACAGTGTAAGGAGTCAGACTGGCTGTACCTCCTAATGTCAAATTCCAGAACAAGAAACATAAACATGCAGACGGTGCTCAGGCCATGATCATCCAGGATGGCACTCGGGGCACAGCTCAGAGGAGAGGCGGCCACAAGGCCGCTCTGAGGACGAATGTCCTTGGAAAACCATGAGGCCTGAGGTTCTGGGAACGGTTCCTAGGCCTGCAGCACCGACTTCATGATACTATTATTATTATTAATACTATAATCATTTTGTTACTAGAAAATTATTATAATCGTGACTATGATTAACCCATTATATTTTATACCACTTATATCATCAGAAAATAACTGCCGCTTGGCAGCCACGTCTTGCGAGTCACCCCATGCTTAAGCAGGCCTGCCCTGCGAGCCCCGGCGCGGGGCAGCGCCACAGAGGCCCTCCACTGGCCCGTCCCCGGGGGGAAAGGGGAGCCTCGGGGCTGCGCGTTCCCCCGGAGCCTCCTGTGCTCGCGCGCGCATGCTGTCCCCGGACTGCAGCGAATCCGTCCCCAAAGCGGCCTAGCAGGAGGCAAGAATCACAGGGGCCGGGAACGGTGTCCCCCCGGGAAGCAGGAGCCGGGAAGGTGCCCGCCGGCTCCCCCGAGACGGCGCAGCTCCCTTCAGCCCCGGCGCGGGGGGCGCGCCCACCTCCCTCGGGGCCCCCGGAGGCTTCGGTGGCGGGGTTGGGGGTGGGGCGGTCAGGCGGCGGGCTCGGAGCTGCTTTGAATATTTCAAAATGGCCTGGTGAGAAGTCATATACAGCTACCTGAGACGAAAGCCACCTTTCCTCTCCCTTCGCCTCCCCCCTCCCCCGTGATGAGTAAAAGCCGACCGCGAACGGCCACGGCCACGGCCACGGCCAGCTCCCCCTCGCGGCGCCCGCGGCTCCGGCCGCCGCTCCCGGGGCGCAGCGCCTCCTCCGCCGGAGCCCCTCCTGCGCCCGTCCGCCCGCCTGCCCGCCTGGCCCCAGCGCGCGCCGCGGCGAGACCTCCCGTCTCGAGGCTTTCTCGCTCGTTCTTTTCAAGCCACAACGACAGATTTTCTTGGCAAAATTGTGAAAAGCAAAAATGAGGAGCTGTCCCGCTTCTTTCTCATGGGGATGAGACACCTCACCTCACTGCGAAGAAAGACATGGAGTGGGCTCAAGCCCTTGAGACAGGAATTGGCCATTCTGCATTTTCCCTGACCCAGCTCCCGGGCCAGGCCAGCGCGGCACTCCATGCTGCAGGGAGGCAATGGTAGCAAGGGCGACAGCTCAGACGGCGCTCAGTGCCATGCCAGGCGAAGCGCTTGCCAAGCATCTGATGCTCACACAGTGGTCTTACGAAGTAAGCAATAGCGCCCCCGTTTTAGTGAGGACACTGGGTCACAAAGAGGTGACGTTCTGCCCAAGGTCACAGCTAGTAAATCCAGGGATATACAGTCCAGGGGCCCTCAACCGCTCCTGCCTGTGGTCTACCCTCAAAGGGTCTGAGAATAGACGTTTACACTGCTAGCTCTTGGCGTTTCAACTTTAGACTTTATGTATTGATTTCCTGCTTTCTAAGATGAGAACTTAACTCTTACATCACCATCTGCATACGCACAACCTCCCCTCCACCCAGCCTCCTAGAGCAGTGTTCAGTTAGACCTGTGCGGATGGGAGCAATTCTGATGCAGGTAGTGGGGCTGACCCTCTGGTGGGTGCAGTGGCCCAGGGGGATGTGCGAACACTGGCAGATGGTCTATCCAGAGAGCCCAGCACACCTGTCCACACTGATGCCCTCAGTGTCTTCCAGAGAATCCACAGACAACTGAAATTGTCTTAGATCCCAACCACGGATGCCCACAGATAGGCTGCCCTCTGCTGCCAGCTCATTAGTTTGCCCCAAAACGTAAAGCCCTCAGCAGTTTAGCTCTCTCCCTCCCCTTCCTCTCTCTTGGAAGTTCTGGCATTGCCTTTGTTCATTGACAATGGCCTGATGGCTGCCTCCCTCACACAAATGAGTCAACTATTTATACTAGCTATTAAAAGTCTCTGAGCTATTCACTGATAGTTGTTCATATATTTCTGATGATGTAAATTTTGTTCACAGATGAGCCATACATGCAGTGTGATTTCCTTGGAGTTGATAACCTCTCAGTTTTCTCTCCATGTATCAGTCGTTTATCCTCAGCTCTGAGGCAGACCCAGCCTGTCACCTGGCCAAACATACATGCTTACCTACTGTGCACATGGTTTCACTGAAGACATTCCTCCCTCCTTTCTCTGTGTGGGCCAGAACAGGATTCCCTCTGGGCTGACCAGCGACTGTCCCCAGTGGCTTCCTTCACCGTCATTCTGAGAATTTCTGCCTTCACCTCTTTGCTGAGGTGGAACCTATTTTCCCTCCTCTCCTCATTTTTTTTGTTTACCCTCTAAATTTGATGGAACACATCCTCCAGTAGTTTACCAAGAAATGTGTGTGAATGGAAGGTACAATTTTTGAGGTCTTATGTCTCATAATGTCTTTATTGAATGCCACACTTGATCAATAACATGTAGTGTTCTAAACTGAAAATACTTTTCTATCATGAATTTGAAACCTTGTTCCACTTTCTTCCTTCTTCTTTTGCCTTTTTCATGGTAAAATATATGTAGAACAACTGGTCATTTTTGTCATTTTTAAGTGTACAATTCAGTGGCATTAATTAAAAGCACAATATTTTGCAACCATCACCACTTTCTATACCCAAAACTTTGTCATCATCACAAACAGCAATCCTGTAGCCATCAAGCAGTGACTCCCAATTCTCTCCTCCTTCTGGGTCTCTCTGCAAAGGGAAGCCTGTAAGCCTACTTCCCAGATAAGGAAAACCGAGGTTTTGTGCTGTCCAGGCCCTCTTCCCAGGAGGTCCTGTGGGGACTCAGAGCTGTGCTTCCTTGCCGACAGCCTACTTTGCTGTCACACACATTCTGTCCCTGGACTGTGGTGAATCAATTTTCAGAATGACCTAACAGGAGGCAAGAGTTCCAGGGGTTAGAAATGGCTGTCCCCATGTGATAAACAGAAAACTGAGAAAATGACTAGTCAGCTAAGACATGATTTAGTTCTGACTTTAGCTCCATCAGGGGGTGGCGGGCTACCACCATGAGAATTTACTTTCTAACCCTACAAATTTGTCTAGTTTAGGTAACCCACATAAATGAAGTCATAAAATATCTTCCTTCTGAGACGGTCTTCTCTCAGTTGGCATGATGTCCTCAAGGCACACCTGTACTTCGCTCGTGTTAATAGCTGAATGATATCCCAGTGCCTATACGTAGCACACTACCCTTTCACCTGCTGATGTGTACCGGGGCTTTCCATCTTTGGGCTGTTGTGAATAATACTGATGGGGATGTCTGTGTACAAGTATCTGTTTGAATCTCTGCTTTTGGTTATGTAGGATTCATACCTAGGAGTGGAATTGCTGGCTCATATGGTAGTTCTATGTTTAATTTTTTTGAGGAGCTGCCAAATTGTTTCTCTGGGGGTTGCACCATCTTCCATCCCCACAATCAGGTCATGAGGGTTCCAGTTTCTCCACACCTTCACCAACACTTGTTATTTTTTCCATTTTTCATAGTAGCTATCCTGATGGGTGTGAAGTGGTACCTCACTGTGGTTTTGAATTGAATTTCTCTAATGATTAGTGATGCTTCTGGGCTTATGATCATTTGTATATCTTCTTTGGAGAAATGTCAGCTCAAGTCTTTCACCCAGTTTTGACTTGACTTGTTTGGTTTTTTGTTGTGGACTTTTGGTAATTCTTTATA